ACACACACACACACACACACACACACACACACACACACACACACACACACACACACAGCCCTTACTCGACCGACGACTCTCCATGACGGCTTTGTCACCTCCTAAATTCATCCCAGGTGTGTGTGCGTGTGTGTGTGATTGAGAGTGGGCAGTAAGCCTTTGTGCTGTGCTTGCACAGAGCGCCACGCCACGCAGCACACAGCCAGGTAAATCCGATTACTCTTAGCACTGGTGTGTGTCAGTGCTTAATGTGCCTAAATGTGATGGCACCTGCAGCCTCCCCACACCTGGCCGCTGGGTCGTTAGCGCCAAGGCAAAGCTCTGGGAGGTGTGGGAGTTGAGAAACGAGAGGAGGCCAAAGGGGGTTTATCCTCAGGGGTCTGTAGTCTGGGTAAATCTCCGCTATTCACCCAGACTTGCAATCTCCTACTCCTCTTATGTCCTTGGCCTAAGACTGTGTTTACTCTGGTTTTTACACCCACTTCAGCATAGACAAGCGGAGGCACCAATGAAACATTACTTCTATTGTCAGCATGAGCTAATCGTGGCGATGCCTGCGTCTTAGCTGCTTTTCTTGGGCAAACACTGGATAAGAGTCCATATCCTTCTTACCACAACGCTAATACATGGGGCTTTGCTCTGGGATAAGAAGAAAAGGATTGAGATTAGGATTAATGAGAGTGAAGTCTTTTTTTAAAAATCTTAATTGTTTGGAAGTGTGAATGGGACGCACAGTGCTAACATCTGTTTACATTGTTGTCCGATTAGTCGGCCGATGGTCACGCAGCAACAGTCAACCCACTTGCTGGCGAGGCATCTCTGCTTCCTCCAAGGAGATCCTCTTCTTTAAAGAGTCTCCTTCCTTCCCCTCTTTAGCAGCCTAAGCATATCCACACGGGGACTAAAGACCTTCTCTTTCATGACAATATCTTAACTTCACAAAAACATAAGAAAATGCTTAATAAGAAAAGTCAAGTTGATGAAAGTAAAAGGAAAGAACTGAAACTGAACTATCTATATCACAGATACTGTAGGTTGCTGGTAGGTGTAGACAGGGCACATTAGGTGTGTTCAAGCTGTGATGACTGTCTGCCTATCAGCCCTCTTTAGCTCTTTAACAGATCTA